GTGACTGAATATATCAACCACAACCACACATACATACAGCACTAAATATGTGCAGGATATTTATCAGCTATTGAAATGGAAATAATAAATAAAGAATGTCTGTGAAAATGTTTCCATGTCTTTCCACAGTCATCTAAACATGCATGCTCTATTTGTACATGTTGAGTAAAAAAATCAGGTTTTGTCTCATCTTAGCAGAGCACCTTCTTGTGCTCACACCTAAGGAGAATTTAGAGAAACCAATTTTGGACTGTGGGAGGAAGCCGGAGTACCCGGAGAGAACCCATGTATGGTCAGAGAGAACATGTATGGTCAGAGAGAACATGCAAACTCCATGCAGAAAGACCCCTGGCCGGGAATCAAACCCGGTGCACTGCGTCACTGAGCAGCCCTAGAAAATACCTCACTAAGATAAAAGTTCATTCCAAGCACCCCAGGTTCAACCTTCAAAGTAATTAGCCTGAAAGGAACAGCTTTGCAGAAAGGAACAGTAGAGTTCAAAGAGGCCAGATTTCCTAAAAAGTAGCATATTATTGGTAGTATACATTTGCTGGGGATTCCCTTCCTCTGTGAGAAAACATTTGACATGAGCAAACAGGAAAAGATCTACATGTGAAGGGGAGAGAGTTTGCAGGTACATGGAAAGCAAGCCATGAGCTTGCAGAAAAGGAAGATGAACTGTGTCATAAATTAGAGGCTTGTGTTAATAAAATCCATACATGTAACATATTCAAAATACACACGGGAGAGTAGTTTCATCTGTTTTTATTAATTAACGGCTTGCAAGTTGTGTAGAGGTTTGAAGGACCCAAATGTAGAGATGGAAGCTTAAGTGGTTCCTTTCAGATTTACAGTATGTTGACCCAAAGGAAAGAGAAGCAAAGTCCAAAACAAAATCCAGACTAACCAAAATCCAGGAGATATTAGGGAAAACACACACAAGACCAGGCTAATCAGCAGATTGTGAGCAGATGTGAACAAAAGAATGGAATAGGAAGGGAGCCAGGGGAAGGAGACTGACACAAGAGGGCAACAGAGGGTAAACAAGAAATACATAAACACTCAAATACAATCAAAAATGACTAGAATAAAAAATAAAACCAATGAAAATTCATAGAGAAAACAAACAGAACCAAAACCATGACACATCTCATATTTATTGCACAAGTGCCCGTTTGGCAGAATTCTGACTTCAAACCTTTGGGTAGGTTTTCTCTTTGCTTTTTTATAGCATCAGCCAATCATATCTTTTAGAATGTAGTTTTACACCTAGCAACTGGTTAAACCACAACTCCTCAATATGACAGAAATTGCTTTAAACTCTTCACTAAGAGTCACTTTAAGCAACTATCTGGATTACTCTTAAGCTCTGAAATTACTAAGAATGGATGTTAATAGAAGCCCTAGGTTCCTAATTTAGTCCAAAAAATGCTGCCAAGGTGTTCTGGCATAGGAGGGATTCATGTAGCTCAAATGTGACTTGAATGAGGAGGGGAAAGCAGCTGTTACCCTACTAAGGAAGGGTGATTGTCCCTGTTGCTAGACGCTAAGCAAATTTAAAAAAAAACAAAAAAAAACGAAGAAATGTCTTCCTAGTAATCAAAGGGGAGAAAAGCAATCATTGAATTTAGACTGGATTAAGAAATGTGTCATGATGATGCACTGCAAAAACATTCTGAAAATGGGTAAAAATTTATTTAAACAAGTGTAATTATCTTAAATATGAGCAGGAAAATAAGATGATCTGCCAATGGAATGAGCATTTTTACCCTTAAAATAAAATAAATTAGATATTATGCACTTGAAATAAGAGACTGTAGTCTTTTTTTCTTATTTTAAATGTAAATTGTCTTGTTCCATTGGCAAAGAGTCTTACTTACCTGCTCAATTCAAGAAGAAATGCACTTGTTTTAAGAAAAATTGAATTAGATTTATATTTTTTGCAGTGTGAAACCTATTAAAATTATATGACTGTCACACAGCATCAAATATTTGTACGTAGCTTATCGATATGCTCTGCAATTATTGGATTGAGTTTTTATTCTGAGTGTTCCAAACATTTAAAGGACATTTCTAGGAGAAATATATAGTGTTCTATATTGCTTAGAATAGAAGCCCAGATTTGTGGAGTGCAAAACTAATAGATTTCTCTGTATGGGGCTGGGCACTTCCTTGGAGATAGGGTCAGGAGAGCCACTTCTCCTCCACATCGACAGGAATCAGCTGAGGTGGCTCGGACATCTTTTTCATGAGCCCTGGACGCCTCCCTCGGGAGGAGGCCCAGTGGATGACCCAGACCACACTGAAGAGGTTACGTCTCTCAGCTGGCCTGGGAGTGCCTTGGACTCCCCCAAGCAGAGCTGGGGGAGGTGTCTGGGGAGAGGGAAGTCTGGGAGTCTCTGCTGAGACTCCTGCCCCAACAACATTATTCCGGATAAGCAGAAGGCGATGATTACTAGTACAATTAGTAGTTGTCCAACCAACATATTCTCCTCCCCTTAAACTGTGAATCTTTGAGCTTCTACAGAACTACCTTTTTTCTCAGATTTATGCCCTCTCTGCCCACCCAGTTAGTTTAATTAGAAAGATATTGCTTTTGATAGATTCAACATCAATATCTTAGATTTCCAAAGTTTTACAGTGACATCCACAGTGTTATTACAAATGTACTGTATGCTACCCGTTTTGGATTTTTATGCCTGAAGGTTTTTAAAACTGTTATCATTTTTTCTTTCTACTTCAAAATGCTATATTTCTTTCTTTTGGTCTATATAATACATTTACCTAAAAGCACAAAAGTTTTACAGTTGGATCATAATAAAATAAAATAAGGTAAAGTCCACAGGCTGGGAACATCATCGCTTAGCACTGTGTATTCTATCTCCTTATGTTTTGTTTAGAGGGATTTGGTTGAATCAAGATACTGACCAAGCATAGACAAGCTGTCTTCATCTAAATGCTGCACTGTACTGCCCCTTACAACGAGGACCACAAGAATTATGACTACCCTTTGCACGACTTGCTGGCTCATAATGACTCTATTTTGGTCCTGCTGAATCATGCCCTGAAAACAGGTCATTTCTGTCCTCACTGGATCCCTCTACACTCCCAAATTTATTCTCTCAATCCATCAAGAAGGCACAAACACCCTCAAAACATACCCACTAAAATATGTGATTTAAGAATTGAGAGCAGAGACTACACTATTGGCTTTAGAATATGGATGAACAAACTTTGTTAGTTTTAATTTTTAATTTTTACTGTAAATAAATGCAAGGTTAATTTGCAAAATAAATAAAATAATCTTTGCTTTTCACCAAATTTGTTGGTATTGCAATATCGGTGTTCAGGCTAAACTCTTTAGGTTACAATACTATTAAGTTTGCACCACAATGTTTTTCACATACGCTTTCACCTTATTAGACTACTAAAATAGTTTTTGGGTTTTTTTTTCTTCTGTAAAACTGAATTAAAAAAAAGACTGCGTTCATTGCATCTTAAATACATTAAAATAATGAACCTTCTATATAATCTTTCATGGGCCTTTTTCTTTCTTCCCTGCTATTTTTCTTTGCTAAGAGTGAAGAAACTTCACAGTCTTTAAGCTTTGATCAAAAATGCATGAAGCACACTTGTGCTCTAAATGTTTCAGGATGTAACTGCGAGAGCTCTTCTCTCCGGCTTTCAACCCGAATATGAGTCAAACTGCAGAATATGTTTGTAACCTATTCATCAAACTATCATTCTTCGGATTAACTCCAACCTCTTATTTGCATTTAAAAAAATAATCCTTCTTCTGTCAGCAAATGGATGGAATAAGAGGACAAGAGTTGTCAGCTTTCTGTGGGAAGGATTGTCCTGACATGAGTGCTATTTATTGCCTCTCTGATTTTTCAACATCATTCATGCTTGCCCAATGTTTCATACTAGTTTTTTTCTTTACTCCCTGCACTTTTTTATTACTCTTAAATACTTTATGATCTTTCCAACAATTCATTTTCTTTAATGGAGTATTGAAGTACCAAAAATATAAAGAAAAGGACCTTTATATTTTAGAAAAACACCAGTGAAACACAAAAAAAACATCATCAAGAAGCTGTCTTTTGTATATTAACCAGGCACAAATGGACATTTGCTTTATCTTAGTAAATGCAACAAATATGATGTTGCACAAATACAAATCCATTGAACAGCAAAGGTAAAGTGTAGAATTCTTAAATCGTAGAGCTTATTTTTTACACTTGACAAATAAGTGTTTTGCTATTACATTCAAGTAAGCGTTCATACAGTAGTAGCCATTCAAAATTTCCTCACTTTCCTTTATGGGCCCTTGGCTGGTCCCCCTCAGTTCCTTTTTAAATTGTAATATTTGTACTAAAATATTCTTTCTGTCTTGATTTCTGGACATTAAGATCTAAAGAGAAGCGTAATCTCAGACCCTGTAATTCAGTGAAAGGGAGGAGTCAGAGTAAAAAAATATGTGAGAGGGTGTCACTCCAGTGGCTGGAAGATTGAGGGGATTTAGCTGCGATTTGGAGGGAAGTGAGCTGCCATTCGGCTGGCGTTTGACTGAGAAGGGCCATTTTGAATGGCTGCTTCTATAACATATTTCTGGATCAAATCTGATGCAGGCTAGTTGTCACTTTTAAATAGGTTCTTTTTCTTTTACTTGGAGGTTTCATTCCATTTCCCTTGGTAAAATGTGGAGAAATACCATTTGTAACTGAAAAGCTGCAATTAATATTTTTATGTAGAAATCTATGCATATCAAAGTTGAGACTGTTTAAAAATTTTTGTTAAAAATAATCTCTAAAGAGGGGTTTACAAAATATCTAGCACAGTGCCTTACAATTTGGACATGCCTTCTGAGTTTTTTCAGTTGCTTTTACATTCGCTCCAATCATATTATTAAGGTCACATAATTAGTTACAAAGTGTAGCTGTTGTTGTAAAATGATTTGATAATTACCTTTAACAACCGTGTTCCCATATTGTTTTTAGCCATCACCTACACACCAAGCTACAAGAAGGCCCCTCCTCCAGTACCGCCTCGCACCACCTCTAAACCACTCATCTCAATCACCGCCCAAAGCAGCACCGAGTCCACTCAGGATGCCTACCACGAGGGACGGCACCCCCACGACGGCCTGTGGGCCCCCGATGGCCTCACCCTTAGCCTGACGCCAGGCAGGGCCCTCTATAACTCCACCGACAGCTTGGACAGCACCAAGGCCGTGACCATAGCGATGGAGGCAGCAGGAATCATGGCAGGGAAAAGGCATCCATCCACAGATTCTCATAGTTCCGTCCTCACCTGTGACAAGGCAATTCTGGTGTCCAAGGCTGAGGAGTACTTGAAAACCCCTCGATCATCGATAGGAATACAGGTCAGTCGGGAGATAAATGTGTTCAGTATAAACATCCCTCACATGATCACAGGGGTCTTAACCCTAAGTTATGCAGAGCTTTTAAAAAATCCAGAGAACTGAAACACTCATAAATTCAGAAGGGAAACTGTGCTGTCCTCTTTGCAGCTAAAAATAGCAAGAGTGAGTCATCTCACTGCAAAGCATTTAATTAAAATTCAACGCATGCTGGAGCAGCTTTGGTTGAATGGTAGTAAACTCATTGTTTAATTCACTCCTGCCTCGTCAGAGGCACCCTTTCCATGATTGCTTCCTACTAAATGCATTATTTCTACAATTTTGTATGTAATCGTGATCTCTTGTTCTAGGGGAAAGGTTTGAAGTTAGACACAAAAAAACATCTCAGATTATCACTTTCCTTCTGTATTAGGCTTGTATTTAACAGTTGTACAGTAGAGGACTTAAAGTGTTACTTTATAGATACTACCAAATGGTGTACTATTTACTACAGACATGCCCAAAGTCTGTCCTTGAGGGCCGGTGTCCTGCAGGTTTCAGAGGTTTCCCTGTTTTAGCACAGCTGATTTGATGATTGAAGTTCAGCAAAAGTCTGTTAATCAGAAATCAAGGAAATGCATCCATGCTGGGGCAGAGAAATCTCTAAAACCTGCAGGACAGTGGCCCTCAAGGACCAATTTTGGGCCTGCCTGATTTTACTCTTAAGCAGGAGTCTGTCTACTCTTGTCATGTGTGCTGACATTTTAAAAAAACAGCTTGTGGGTCTAAGTATTAAGAAACAATGCATAACTCTTGAAACATATATTAGATTAATTGACAATATGTTAAACTATTTTCAGGTAAATATACACAGAGGCATATCAGGCTTTTCAAAAGTGTGGGAGATGTGGTCTGTCCAAGGTTAATGCAAAGCCGGTTAATTGTTTCAACCTGCATTTCATACATTTATCATGATTTCACTTTCACTGAATAGAGTTTAAACATCCATCAACATTAATTAGATATTGAGCATATAGCTAGTGCTATTATTAATGCTACAGTTTTTTTTTTTGTTTTTTTTTTAAATACTTGTTTTTCTTTCTTTTTTTTGTTAAAAAAAATATATAGCAGAGAATACCAGCTACAAATACTTTATTTTACTCATTTATCTTAAGCAAAAGTTAACACAACTATTTTAAAATAGGGTTATAAAGGATTGCTCAAAACTGCACAAAAACCAAACATCAAACAGACATTTCAGGATATTAAATACAATAATGTCTAAATTAATTTTAAAGAACCAAAGTGTTTTCCACTGTCCTTAAAAGAAACTGCCAAGGGACCAGTGCATCCATGAACACTGGGCCTGTTTTTCAGTGTAGTCCTGTTTTTCTAACTGTGTCTGGTTGGATGTGCTCTCTTCATCTTCTGACCTGGGAGTCATCTGCCTGGCTGCGTGTTTCCTGGACTGGGTGGCTTTTTACAGTTGGCAGCTGTATCTCTGATTCTTTTTGTATCTCTGCTTCTGTCTCCTTGAACCCCAGTCAGCCTCGGCAGATGACCGCTCACACTGAGCCTGGTTCTGCTGGAGGTTTCTTGCTGTTAAAAGGGAGTTTTTCCTCTCCACTGTTGCTACAAGCATGCTTAGTGTAAGGGATTGTATTCGAGTGATCGAGTCGATGCAATCCACTGGTTTTCCTTAGATAGAAAACTTTGAATCAATTTGACTGTATGATCTGGTGAACTGTAAAGTGCCTTGAGATGACATGTGTTGTTAATTGGCGCTATAGAAATAAACTGGTTTGAATTGAATTTAATATTAACTGGATTTTAAGTTTCAGTGTTTATTACTGTTTCTTTGCCTTCTATCTTTGCTCTTTATGTCCCATATTAACGTAGAGATTTTTCATATGTGATAGCTAGCACTGGGGCCTACACTGTATCACAGGATTTCAGGTTGTGAGGCTTTGCAGCTCTTGGAAGTTGCTGCTCTAGTAGTAGGGCCTGAGCCATAGGGTGTGCTGTATGGGGCGGAGAACAGGGTCATTTGGGTTCCAATCTTAAAAACTTTTTTCATGCTGTCAATAAATTGAAATTAGACAAGAACTGGGCTCAGTGGGGGGCGGGTCAAGTTCTGTGCGGTCGGATTCTATTGAGTATTTTGGGGGGAAACTATTTTATGACATTTCAAAATATAGAAGTGCATAGGATCCTTAAGTATAGCTTGATTTTTTATTTTGTTTTTCATTAGGTAGATTTAAACTTTAGGTACAAACTTGCTGCCCAGTCTGCTTGGTCAGACACTGGGAGGGACACTGCTATATCAAATTTAGCCAGGAGTTTTTTTTCATTTGTTTTTTTAGTTTTTGCTAATAAAATCAAAGTAATGGCCTTCCCTTCCTTTTTTCCCAGAAAGACTCTTGTGCGACATTGATTTAACACCCAAATTACATTAAGTCTATCGATTGCCAGATGTTGCCTTAAGGAAGCCAGCCAGTTAATGAGTATTTTCTTCAAAGCAAATTGATCCTTCTGCATGTTTGGTTAAATAATGCTTAGAGAAATCTAACTGACACAATGTCCTCATTAAAAGTGCTATAATATGTATTCTTTATATTTTTCACATCTATGTTATAATTAGATTTTATAATGTAGGTCCCAGACTACACACCAAAATTGTTATACTTTCCAAATATAAAATTCAGGATTATGTCAATCCCTAAACTGTAACTCTTAGACGGATCTAACAAGGTAAAGGGAATATGTTAACAACTAGAACAGCACTCAGAGTGCACAGATCTCTGCAAACAGCAAATTATGGCCTCTTATTGTGACTTACAGCCATTGCTAAAACTCACACATAATTTGGATCACTGTCAAATTATTACCTTTGGTAAGAATTGCCTTTTAATCCTTTCATGATTTTATGAATAAGTAGCCTCTGGTGCTTGTTCTGCTCTCTCCTTCTTCATTCACTCAGCACTCTTCTTTCTAGTTAGATCAGCAGATCAAGGCTTCGAGAGAGGCATAGCTCAACTTTCCTGTGTTTTTTTCTTCGCTCATAATACTTTTGAATGTTTTTGAGTCATGTTAAAGACAGGCTCTGTGTCTGCACCCTGATGCTCTATCTTTCCGGTTCTTTTTCCTGAAAAGAGATCACACGGAACAAACTCTTTAAATAACACTTTATAACTTATATGTATTAAATAACCAGGAGACATGACGACAGATTTTGATAGAAATTGTAATCTTACTCAGATCAGAGAGATTGCTTAGAATATACAGAAGGCAGCTGCTCACCTCTGGGCTCACCTCTCAGGAAGTGGCCCTGATTAATTAATTAAAAAGGCATTTTATATATCTTCAGTCTGCCATATCATCACGTTTTACATCATACACCTTAGCAGATGAGTAGACATCCATGGCTGCAGCCTTATCAAAATATTACACTTCGTTCTTAGCTGAAGGAAACCGCTCTCATTCCATTTCCAAATCTTTGCCATGTACAAAATTAAGATTAGAACTGTATGTCCAGACAGAGGAACTGTCCTAATTAGATCAAAACATCAGTTCTGGGGCGCAACAGGCAGCCCATACCAGGGTGTATTAAACTCACACATCTTCAATGATAATTACCCTAACAATTCCCCCTGAAAAGGTGACGTTTTTAATGTCACCTTTAAAAAAAAACATTAATGTCTCCTCATGACCAGGATATCAATCATAGAAGAAAACTTTAAACGCTGCATCTTGCAACATCATAGGATCATGGAACAAACAATCAACAGTCCCCATGGAGATGTATCATTAATCATGGATCAAAAGTAATCATAATCAAAACTTCAGACCAAATGTTGTCACTCAAGACCACACTTTCAGCATTTAACTACAATTTGGGTTTCATCTAATTAAATGAAGGCTGTTTTAGAGTCCTATGTGCACATTATTTTAATTTACCTTAGACTAGGTAACCTAAGCCTATAAATCTAATAAGGCCAAATTCATCTACTCTCACTCCCACCTGGAGGCCTCCTAAATGTGACCGATAATCATGGATCAACCATCAGTCCAAATTAAGAATCATTCAGTCACAGTAGGGGACGTCACAGGGCAGGCCGGGCTGTTCTCCACCGGAAAACCCTACTCTAAGCAAAAAAAACACGTTTTGAATCTGACAATTATCATTACCAACTAATTAAAGAACCTTTAAGCCAATCAGGTTCTGAGTCTTTCTATATCAAAGCAAAAGTGGCATAAAACTTGATCTTGGTGGATCTGGAGCAAAATGTTTCTATGATTTTCATCAAAACAAAATCAAAATAAATCACACATATAAATCACAATGAGTTAAAATCAAGAATTATCTTAGTCCGAGTTAAAGGCAAATGATGAAGATTACTGACGATGATGAATTCTTTCAGTGTCTCTATCACTCATGAATAGAATCAATCAATAAGAGTCTCGTATGGCCGCTTTGGCTTTAGAAAATCATCTCAGATTATCACTTCCCTTCTGTACTAGGCTAAAGAAAATTTTGAAAACAATTTTTACATCACAGCATATTAAGTTTTAGCTTCTTCTAAAGTTATAACTTCATTTTTAGTTAATTCTTATCCTCTCCCCATTGAAAATGATTAGAGTTATTTTTTCTCTAAGAATAACCAGCTTGGCGCGGATTTGCCCCCTTAAAATTTCCTTGACGGACTTAGTAACTTTAATTGTTACAGGGTTAAATGTTTTCTAAATATCTACAGGTTCCTTGAATGAAATTATATTAGTTGCAGTAATTTGAGCTTAACAAAATAATGAACTGAAATATCAATAGGATGTTCAGGCTGAATAAATTTTTTATATGGCGCTGAAGCTGTCAATAGTCAGTACTGCAACTCTCTTGTTTAGCAGAGAACTGTTTGTTCCTCCAAATAATGTTAAAGAATCTTTAAAGGAATTCCTGCATCAGGATTATGATGTGGATCATCTCCCAAATTTAATTAATTGTTCCTTGGACTGAGGGTCACCTTTAG